TACAAGTAAATAGACGTCCGGCGCATCCCAGGCAATTCGCGTGTATCTCGACTGGCTATTTCTCCTTCCACGAATCGATTGCGAAAATATTTATTTTAAAATCGAAAACTCATTGACTTTAAGTGAAATATAACGCAAGGAATGTGTCTGGCGTGTTGTGTTGTTTCGGTTTTGTTGAAACAGCTTGCGAGTGTGCTCGCGTCGGCGCGGCGTCGCCTCGCGACAACAGTATTAAATATATTTTTAGGTATTATTCCGATACAGGTCCTAATATACTTAGGGCTGTTATGTCTTATATTGAATGCTAATTTTTCAATTCCTTTTCTACCAGAAACGAGGCGTTCTAAGTCCCCATGAGTGACAACGCATCAGCATTTTGATTCTTAATCGATGTCTATGAGCCAAGCAGCCGCTTGCCATCAGGATGACTTTGTGCTCGGTTGTTAACTTTATTTAATAAAAAGATGTCCATCGCATAAGTTATAACCCGACTGAACATAAGAAGGGAAACAATTCAACTATTCATTCAACTATAATTTTTAAGTTTTTATGTTGTATTTCAACCAATAAATAACTTTTATTTGAGGATTGAAAAATCGGTAACAAAAAATATAATTGTATAACTGTTAGCAATTGCTTCAATTACTGTACTCGTATGTTGCTGACGGCTTAAAAGCGCCCATTAATCTACTTCGTCCGTGGCCGTCACATTTAAACATGACTCCGTCCATCAACCCACTACAGCCTATATGGGTCCACTGCATTCATAAGCTGCTCCCATATTGCCTCAAAAGGAGGATTTGCTACAGTTGCCATTCGGCAGACAGGTTAGCAACCGCAGCGTTTTTATTATTTTGCGCTGTTATCAAGAAGATACTGCTGCCCATCTCCAGGTTCAGTTTCCCTCTGTCACCTCTTGCGTCTCCCACGGGATGACATAGGATATAGTGGATGTTCTTACACCGCACCGCCTCTACGTGGTTTCCTTCAGATGACGGTTTGATAATCTCGTTGTCGATGGACGGGGCAACGTCTAATGTGTGAAACGACTCAGCGATTGCCATTCTCACCTCCACCACATGCCGTCAACACTCGCATACGACCACCACACCAACGAGGTTGAAGATACTCATTGAGTCATTTATGCTTTTACTACTTAAGTTTTTTTTTTTAAATAAAAAACAGATGTTAGCCTCTGCCGGCCTATTTACGACCCTCTGGGTCCAAAACCTCCTCTTATTTCTGTAAAGGTTCAGGGCTTAGGGCGAGATAAAGTCCACCGCGGTGCCTCAACACATGGCAGACATCGTATGTTAGTAGTATCTCATATTGAGTTTCAATAATTATTCAACAATTGCACTGGTTTGATTGAGGATCAGAAATCGGTTTGCTCGTTTACTAAGAACTTTTAGCATCATTAAACATTTACTAAGAACTTTTAGCATCATTAAACATTTACTAAGAACTTTTAGCATCATTAAACATTTACTAAGAACTTTTAGCATCATTAAACATTTACTAAGAACTTTTAGCATCATTAAACATTTACTAAGAAATTTTAGCATCATTAAACATTTACTAAGAACTTTTAGCATCATTAAACATTTATTAAGAACTTTTAGCATCATTAAACATTTTTTCTCATAAAACTAATTTTACAGATATTATTGCGTTTAATGTAACCTATTTTTTACTTTCGACCTTTCGTGTGCTTTGCACAATCTATGGTCGCTGAAGGACTGACATTTTTGATATTCTGACGTAGATAAACCAAGATACTTTTAATGAATAATTTCAGTCTGATCTACGCAAAATTAAATTTAATGAATCTTTAAGTGTTAGTATATTTCTCATTTAACTCTGAATCGTATGTTGTCATACATTCTCGAGTCAACAGTGAAATACATACCCTAATGATTTAATACATCTCTCATGCCAGGCAGCTCCTCCATTGTTACAATGACATGTCATTGTTTATCGTGCTATGTCAAATCACCTTCGTATTGTTCGTTTGTTGCGACAATATCATGATATGACAATATCAGCTCGTGGCTGCGGCGTGCAGTTCAACAAAATGCACATAATGCCACAAATTTAGCCCCATCTATTTCAAATCCCCCAGCAGTCAAGGTATGATAGAGATGTTTTGTTTTTAAAAAGAAGCCCTTAAATAAAATAACAAAGAGAATAATAAAAAATTCAAATCTTGAATTGAGTTCACTTAGTAATTTTTACTTAGTTAATCTGCGATTGAGGATAGGACGGTTAAGGATGGATACAGGTGGCAACAACAGTACTTTGTTAGATTCCTAGAGGAGGACCTTAATAGTAAGTAGGACTATAGAACTATGGTGTCTGCTGCTAGACTAACGCAATGATAATAACATATTTGCTATAAAATAATGATTTACGAGATCGATCCTCGTCAATCCCTCTGTAATCGTCAGTCGCATGTTCCAGCCTATACAGGTGCGTCCCATTGCTGGGCAGAAACTTTCTCGGAAAAGGAAGTGTCCGTCGTGCTGCACTGCCCCATTGCATGTTAGCGAACTTCACATGTCTTCGAAATTTTTTTTATTTCTCACACATGCAGGTTTCCTCACAATGTTTTCCGTCACCACCGAGCACGTCAATTTCATTAGTTTCGGGAGGGGGGGGGATCGAACACGGGTAGCTGGCGTACTGTGAGATTTACACCGAGCTCTTAGCCCCCGAGCTCGCTATCACTACGAAGTATATTAAAATTATTAAATGCGATTTACAATGCGGTCAGCGATGAAGGAAAACATCGTGAGAAAACCGACATGTCTCTAAACATAGACAACCAATATCATTATGGAATATGTGTATGAATAGGTATATAAATTGTAATGACATTTAACTAATGTTATATCGTTAATGAGCAAATCTAAATTGACCCCGAGAGTTGTACAGAAATATAATAAATTGTAATCACGTTATTTTAAATACATTAATTAATAATTAGCCGAAATTTCTTTGAATTCACGATAAGCTCACCTACTCAATAACAAAATTAATTAAGTAACTATGTGTATACCTAGTATAATATAAAACTAATTGATTTGAAACTGTTAACAATTAGAATTTGGAAACGTCAAGAGATTTAGTTTAGCTGATAGTCTACGAGTACGTACATAGCTAGTTTCTGTGCTATGGCACTTCATCTGACTAAAAGTAGGCAAGTAGTCCGTCCACTGCGCCTGAACATCCCGTGCGTGCCGTACGAGGCCACAGACGGGAGTGAGAGGAGACGACCGACAGCATCAGCCCGATAACAATTCAAAATAAAACTATGGTTGCCAACCCGCTCGCCAAGCGTGCCAACTGTGCCAAGCAACCCCCTGTGAGGCAATCTGTGAGTCTGTGTTCAGCGGCGGACTTTTGATAGGCTATAATGGTAACGTTAATCAATAATAGGTGCCTACGCTGTACCTGCAGTATCTATAATTCAGGCAAAATCTAAATTACTAGTTCTAACGGGACTTGACCTCGTTTTTAACTTTAACCTTTGTCTTCGCACGTGGGACACCGGCACTGCCAGACTATTTATCCAGGAGCTTCGTCTAAATACATAGTAGAATATCTTGTGGTTGTTAAAAATTAATCGTTACCATTTTAAGTTTTTATACACAATTTACATAGGAACGGAAACCACCGAAGTATCGACTTTATTGTCTTGTAAAATAAACTATAACTCTCCAAAGGTACTGATTACCGTTACATTATTCTTGAAGGCGCCCGGTAAGTATTCTTCAACCGTTCAAAACATTTTATATCAGCAATATACCTAGTCTCAATGTAATGAAGATCTATTATTTGTTCCTAGCAGTCAGGAATAAGCATTGAGTTAAAAAAAAAGTCATAAGTGTAGATTAATTTACCTTCAACACAAGCTAAGGAAACGAATTTTAGAGCTACTAAATAATTGTAAATTTGTAATCATTCACAGTTAGAAGCACTTCGATATGCAGAAAGAAATGAAAGCCTGATAGCAAGATGATACACTGCACAAGTATTGTTACTTGTTTGTTACACTCAACATCTGGGACTCGGACAATTACGCATAGGTACGCTTGGGAGTAAAACTTCTAACTCCGATCACTGCCAGTTTACGTATCACACATATTCACATAAACACAAACCATAATCAATTTACCACAACTTTGTCGTTACTTAAAGTTCGAAATTATAATTCACCGGCCGCTAATACACGTCCGCGGCCAACCGTGGCAAACAAACTCGCTTCGACGTTAAAAAATCCCATTCCCACCGGTATGAAAGAGCCTTGTTTGTGATTCGTCCTATAACCCAAACGATTTAAAAAACATTCAATTCGTGCAAACTAGCATCTACTTGGTCTATCATTGAAATTTAGTAGTATTATATTATGTAGAAAACATTCCTCAGAATGAAGAGAGAAACAGTATACCTCTCTGTTTAACACCTATTCCAAAAGTACATACGCACGTGTCCTAAAACGAGATAGATATATCGGTAAAATTTAATTCAATCACGTGCGTTACTTAACTCCCTACGTAACTATAATACTGTATACTGGTTCATAACTCTTCACACAATAACTTTAAGGATGAATCTTGTCCTAACACTTTACAAAATTAATTGGAATGCTTTGTAAATTGGTACTTGGCGCGGTTTTTAAATATTTCTTCTCAGACCAATGTGCATATTAGTACGTAGTACTACGTAGTACTATTATTTATTCTGTGATAGTACCATTATTTATACTGTTACTGTTATATTAGGTACTGTGCAAAATATGTAGGTACGTCTTTATTGTTCTGAGTATTTCTTATTCGATCAGTGATCAGTAAAATGCTCAAACTATATATCTGAGGTAAATTGTTTAAATAATGCTTATTCAAGTTCAAGAATTTACATTTCTATAAGAGGGATAGCGAATTTTTAAGACATTTCGTAGGTAAGGCAGTAAGACATAAAATAGCAGATAAATCACTTACCGTGAAGGTGTAAGTTGAGTAATTTTACTTTTTTCTATATTAGCATTACTCCAAACATTGTTATTATTAATCAATTTATTCAGCTTGAGCTTCGTTTTTTCGGGCAGCCTTGGTTTCAAAGTTGGCGGCAAAATACTATCTGGGGTCTTTGGCGCAGACTGCTTTGGTGTTACAGACTTCTTTACGATTTGAAACACCACATTCGCACTCTTCAGGTCATGTTGAGACTTTTGTTCGGATGCAGTTTTGTGGTCCGAGGGTTCAGGTGTCAACTGCTTTGCCCTCAGTGGTCGCTCAGGACAGGGGGGCTTATCGAAGCGGTTAACCGGTTTTGAACGTTCTATACCCTTTTTCGCTTTTGATTTTGTTTCTTCTAATTGCGAAACTGTAAGTACGAGTAACTTTCATACTATGTACCTCTAATAGCTATGCAAGTATAAAGTAAAACGGTTAACTACTAAATTTAAAGAAAACTAATATCTTTGGTTACTTACAAATTTATACCTAAAATTTAAAAGATAATTTACACCTGACGTAATATTATAATAGCTGCATTCGGACCTTAGAAATTCGATCTCCGACCTTCGCCCAATAGCAGGCACGATGACTACTAAGTTTAGCGTTCGTTTCCGTTTCCGGTAGCATAGGAATTTATAACAGGTAGGTATCACAACCAACTGATGTTAATTTGGCACTATTTTTAAACATTACTTAAAATATATGTTATATAATATGGTATAATTAAGCTATATTAAGTAGTATACATAGAAGTCGTTGAACTTAGGCGTAGTAGAAGCGTAGTAGAAGGCGTAGTAGAAGTATTTAAAAGAATAATCCTCAAGAAGAGTGTGATGTGATGAATTTTTATAACATGCAAAGATGTGTTGCATTGCATTATTAAATTTAAATATTAAATGTATGCAAAACATACCTTAACCTTTGACTACCGTAGTGACGAATGTGTCACATGCATGCCGTGGTTTTTTTTTTCTTTTTTGGGGGTTTGCTTGCTTTTTTTTTTTTTTTTTTTTTTATTTTATTTTTTATTTAAATGAATTAAAAGGAGTTTTTGGTGGGGTTTTAAAAAATTTTATGTTTGATAAAAAAGGTTAAGTATTTGGCCCAAAAATATTTGCGCCCGGGGGGGGGGGTTTATTTTTTTTTTTTTTTTTTAAAAAAAAAACCCATTTTAAAATTAAAATTTATTAAATATTTTTTAGGGGGAGGGGGGAAAGAGGATATTTTTTTTTTGGATAAAGTGTTTTTTTTTTTTGTTTTTTTTTTTTTTTTTTTTTTTTTTTTCTTTTTTTGTTTAGGCGTCTAATAGACGTAATGTTTGAAGGGGAATTTCTAAAAAAGTAGGCATCTTGTCCCAGCATTTTCTTGATTCGACAAATGTATCATTAATTATGTTTGTAAATAAAGCATATAAAAATATTGAACACAGCTTTTATTTATAACTTATTTATGTAACTTACATTGAGTGAGATCAATATTTTAATTTTTTCTATACACTATAAAAACGTCACGATAAATCCCTGGTATAAACTAGTAACTCTACTTAACTTTGTTTTTCTAATACCTAAAACTCCAATAAACAAGATTCATTCATAATTAGCTGCCTTTAACATACTTTTATAAAAATCACAAGGGTCAAAGTAACCAGTTTTGTAACAATTTCTTAAATAATTACTATAAACATTAGCTCTTTGTTCTAGACTTTTCTTATTATAGTTAGTCTATTATAACTACTTTTCTAGTTCGTTAGAAAAAAAATCTAAATTCATTTTTAACAAAACATTAACAATCTTAGAGAAAATAAATATGTAATATTAGGTATTTTTTACACTTGCAGTCATTGCAAATCTGACTGTAGCAACTATGGCACATTGGATTAAGCGGGCTACATACGACACGATATCGGTGGCGATCTAGGGTGGAAAGAAATCGGGGCTTTTATCGAGGTAGACCTTACACACGGGCCTGCCTAGCAGTACGCGTTCGGACTTGGAGCGGAATACATATGCGGTAAAGTTCTCCAAAATACCTCCGACTCTCTTAAAACACCACCGTGTTGGTTTGGCATTAGCCATCTCGGTTAATTTATTCGAAAATAGAAAAAGAGAAGTTGCTGGGTGAAAAAATGGCTCCAAAAGAGATAAAAATTAAGCCACATAAACGTACTAAATGGCCTGTAATCCAAGGACGTGATTAATTTTCTCCGGATAGATGAAGACAGTTTTTATAACCTTCTAGAAATGATTTCGCCACTTATATAAAAACGTCAAGTTTTCTCTTTGTTCATTTCTGCTTTGGTCAATATCTGGTTATGTATTACACACAACAAACAAGGAAATAAAATACTTTTGTATAATAATATGTATACTTTTTTTTTTAATGTAATCTTTATTTATGGAGTAAAACTATCAGAAAATAAAATAGCTTATATCTTTTTTTTAAACATAAAGAAACCTTTAATTTCGGACATACTCCCTTTTATATAACTTGTTTGTTGATGTGGAGATGGTGAAGGAGTAAAAGTTAGTTGTTGATAAGAGGATGAAGGCACGTAAGAGATCGAAGTATGGTCTTGTGGAGTTGTAATAGATATGAGTGCGGTCTTGTGTTGATAGCGTTGGAATAGGAGTTAGTTGTTGAGGAGAGGCTTTATCTTCTCCTTACTTACATCATACACTCTACTTTACGAACGGCAATAAAAAAATTAGTTTAGTAGGCATTCTTGACCATGTCACTTCGCAGGGTCACAGGCTAGGGTGGATATGATTTGAATTTCGATAAAATTTCAATTAATTTCTTTATTTTATTCACTTTTTTTTGGTTTTTTGTAAAATATCAGTGCCATAGGCTTCTACTCCGTTTATATGATTAAAATGTAAAAATTTTGTTATATAAAAAAGGTCATTCAGTATCAATGTTTTGTTAACTTCCTTCCGCGAGGGTTGCCGGCAGCGACTGCCAAAAGAAATCGGGCCGATGCGCCTACACACACGCAGTAAGGAGGGGGCGGTGCCCCGATCTAGGAAGCATCGGCTGATCTAGGAAGCATTTTTGCTCCTGCCAGCCGATTAAGGAGGCGATATCGGCCACGACTTAGGATGGCCCTACATACGACACGATTTAGAGGCAATCTAGGAGGCGTCCCCACTACTCCACCCTAGATCGCCACCGATATCGTGTCGTATGTAGCCCGCTTTAGCACAGACACAACAAAAATACTTTGTTCGCCTTCTCATCTTACTTGGGCATATGGCACATGTTCTTCGACCTTCAAGGGCTTGTGCTGTTGAAATTGAGGGAGTCGGGGGCATATCATATTGTCCAATTACTCTTTGAATAGTGCATCTTAGTTCTGTGGGAATTTTCTCGCTGAAAACTCTCAACTACATTTGAGCTATATAAATCTTTGCATTTGAGGCAATACTAATTCACGAGCTAAACTGCGCAGAAAATCTCCCCGGTTCAATTTTTTTGCGTTTTCGCAATTATTATGTAAGATAGCCATCGGCCAACGTCTAGTTCTACGAGAGCATGAGTAGTTTGCACATTTTTTGTCTACCTCGTCCACGGCTCTTTTGTTTGATTTTAATCAATGATTATCATTGGTTTTTTTTTGTTGCTGGGTCTGTCTCTCTTTTATGGTGCATGGACTAAATAACTATTACAGCTTTATTCGGTTTAGGAACGAAAGAAATAATTGTACAGTCTTTCGTAAACACGTACAGTACTTCTCCACCGTTCCTGTCCCTCTGAGCTTGAAACTCCGATGGTATTTCTCTTTTGTTCTTCTTCATTGTACCTAGTTATGTTAAACCTCTCTCTTTTAGGCATTCCCTAGCTTGAATTGGAGAAAAATAATTATCCGCAGTAACATTTCGGTGACTTCTTTCAATTACTTTGCAAAATTGTAACAAAAATTGAGTAGGCTCATGTCAGAGATGATTTCAGTTTCTATCTCCGACTGCTCCGAATCCGTCTCTTCGCCTTCTTCCAATATATAGTTTGGGTCAGCCTCACTGTCATCAAACTGGCTATAATCCGGATCGGTTTCTTTCCCTTCGATCAGGTCTCGAACAGCATCTTCTGAATTTTCAACAGGAATAGGTTGCGTGTTCTGATCACGCTGATATTTCCGTTTTCTTGAAGTTGATGCCTGAGATTCCGACATCCAAAAATAACAAAATCATTATAGCATATATACCGTCGTGACGACTACGAGACGTTTAGTAAAAAAATACATAAACGCTGTGCAGGCGTCTTTCAGACATAAAGAGAAAATAACATAAGTACCGACCTTGCGTCTGTGAGACGTCAACTGTAGAGTGGCGGGAAAAGTATGCACCTTACGTTAGTGCAAGAGGCTGAAGGAAGGTACTGCGGGGGGTAAAGGTGGAGTGCACGTGGGAAGGTCAAAATAATACCGGGAGAAGACATGACAACGTCTGTCAAACGTCACTACGGCAGTTAAAGGTTAAAGTAAGAAGCTAATTTTTTATGATTAAAACTACTTTTACGGATTTTGCGTTATTATTTTTTCTTACTTTTTATTTTTATTTTTAATTCCCGACGTTTCGGGCGCTTTCCAGCACCCATGGTCACGGGGGACTGAGATGACTGACGTCCCGATGTCATTGTTAAACCCGGAGTACCTTCAGCTTTTTTTTTAATTATTGTTTATGGTCCGATCTATGCAAAATGAACTGACTATGTCCTGAGGTCTTGCAGTGGTATGCTTGGGTTGGTGCACTGCAAGACCTCAGGACATAGTCAGTTCATTTTGCATAGATCGGACCATAAACAATAATTAAAAAAAAAGCTGAAGGTACTCCGGGTTTAACAATGACATCGGGACGTCAGTCATCTCAGTCCCCCGTGACCATGGGTGCTGGAAAGCGCCCGAAACGTCGGGAATTAAAAATAAAAATAAAAAGTAAGAAAAAATAAACGCGATAAAATCCGTAAAAAGTAGTTTTAATCATGTGCAATGTTCGCGTAAATATAAGAAATCATTAAGCTAATTTTTTAGTTAAGTATGAGTGTATTTAGATTTTGTTATTATTATATTAAATTCCAAAACGTGATCAAGAAAAAAAATAACAATTTATTATATTATTATTTACTAAGGGTTACCTGATCTAGGCCTATTTCTAGTAATAGGCTTAGTCTCCGCGCTGCCTATTTTTGTAGTTTCTTCGACGGAACGTGAAGAAACAGCGGTTGACACCGCTTTGTTACGCGAGCTAAAGGTCGCTTTGAAAAAGTTCGCCGAGAGACGCTTGCGGACCCCTTGGGGGTTGGAGCTGGTATGGGGTTGTCTGAAACAAATATAAAAAATAATTTTTAGGGGACACCCGGGTTTGAACCGGGGACCTCTCGATCTGCAGTCGAATGCTCTACCACTGAGCTATATCCCCGACGCTTAAAAGTGATGAAATACATTATCAGTACATTCATTTACAGCAATCTACTAATAATTGAATTGTAATAGTTCTACGTTCTTACGATAGATGGCAGTATTGTTAAAACTATAATATCATTAAACTAATATGTCAAAGAAACGTACTTAACTACTTATTCAAAAAGATTATATAAATGCAACACTAATATTACGCTTTCAATACACATTTCACATATTACCAGTAGGTTTTAACCTTGGCAAACATAACTTTCAAGCATAGACTTATTTACGACTAATACAAGTTAGTGTTGTTGTTACCTAGCTTCTTTTACGGATGCAAAAGTTAAATGTAATGAAAACATGATAATCAAGATATTTATTAAATATTCAATGACTTACTGAAGTTTTATATTATCAGGCACCCCTGGCGCCTTCTGCTGCATAACCTCCTCGATCTGGGGAAAGATTTTTATTATAAATTCATATAAAAAGAATACTTTTGTGTTAAATTTAAAGTAAAAATTTATTTTTTACACTCACAAAATCACCCGCCATCAAATAATGATATTTTTATATCATTGCCAAATTAACGCTAAAAGATTGTAACTAAATGTACTGTCCGGTAAAATTGCAGCACATATTATCTTACCCACATGTTCTTATCGTTTAACAAAAATGTCATCATTATCATTATTGATTACGTGTTTGTGTTTACCAAGATAAAATACTCTTTCGTCCTTCGCACTTCTGTTTTTTGTTGATTTTTAATGGATGTTTACAATTCGTAAGCTATAAATAATAATTTAGAAAAAATTGCTCTTATTATATTTTCTACTCGGTAACACAATTTAGGCACAACCATGTACAAGTTGACGATGGCACACTCCGATAGGAGTAATAGTGTGGCTATCTGTGATGGCATAATATGTTAGTAAGTGTGAAATGTGAAACACAGATCACTAATACCCTGTGTGAAACGAAAAATCAACATTCCTTATTATTCGATGTGCAGTCAATTTGAAATTTGGTCAAAGGTTTTATGTGACAAAAACGAATAGGTACCTACATAGGTCATTGAGATATTCTGTACCACGTAGGTTTATTATACTTCTATGTCATGGGTGCAATGGCGCAATATTTAAAAGGCTAAGGCTTTAGGCAAATCACCTATATAATCACTCTTAGGGATTACAATTACATAGATGAAAATCATTTAAGAAGATATAGATAGATGAATATACGAGTAGCTTTGATTATAGATTATGGACGCGCAAAAATGAAAAAAGGATATAATTTCTGATAAGATCATTTCAGAGAATAAACCGAAATAAATATCTTAAATCAGCTAATTTAATTTATGTTCGTATAGATAACCAATGTAATATATTTCATATAATCCACATAATAGTAATTTAGTAATAGGTCCTTACATATGAAATTGGCGTTTTGTACGGGAGGAATATATACCTATTCAATGTTTTTTTGTAAAATATATTTAATTAATCAAAGTTTGCATCGTTGTTATCTAAGTATGCACTTTTGCCATCTCATGGGTAGTTCATTGACCCCTTTACTATAAAAACTCAATATCAAATAATCAATAAACTCTTTGAAGGTGGTTTGGACTTCCGCATCGGAATTCAATTTTTTGCCTTGTGAGAAGTTGTCCAAATTTCGGAAAAAATGGTAATCTGTTGGAGCAAGGTCCGGGGAGTACGGTGGATGTCGCAGACATTCCAACCGTAGCTCATCTAACTTAGTGGTTGTTTGTTGTGTAGCGTGTGGTCTTGCGTTGTCGTGAAGCAACAGTGGCCTGGAGCGATTGACTAATCTCGGTTGTTTAGCAGCTAGTTGTTCCTTCATGGCTTGCAGTTGCTGACAATAGATATCTGCCGTAATCTGTAATGCCGTTTGGCTAGATTTTAGAAAGCTGTATAAACGACACCGGCGCTAGTCCACCAAACACTCACAAGTAATTTTCTGAGTCAATTTTCGTTTAGGGTAGAATTTGGCTGGGTCTACAGGGTTCAGCCATTGCGACGCTTCCGATTATCGTACAATATTCACTTTTCATCACAAGTAATGATTCGATTTAAAATCCCTTTATTTTTGTGTCCGTTGAGCAAAGTAACACAGCAGTCGAGGCGTGTTAGCAAGTTCGATTCACTCAATTCATGAGGTACCAATCGTTCAAGTTTTTTTACTTTCCAGATTTTCTTCAAGTGGATTAATACAGTTTTATCACTTACCCCGAAGCCTCCTGCTATCTCTAAAGTGTTTTGTGATAGATCCGCTTTCACAATAGCCTTTAATTCTTCATTTTCCACTTAGATCTCCGACCGTCCACGGGGTTGGTTCTGAAGGTCGAAATTTCCAGAATGAAAACGTTGAAACCAAAAACGTATCGTGCTTTCTTTTGCGACACCAGCGCCGTACACATCATTAATCCTTCGAGCTGTTTCTGCAGCACTGATGCCACGGTAGAACTCGTACTCGTAAATATACCGATATTTCATGTTTTCCATTGTGCGGTAATAAGCGACGCCAAAGAAAAAAATAATGAGGAAAAAACAAATGAATGACTGTTTTCAAAACTCAAATGTACCAGCTAAATGAATTTATAAATTTGAATTTGGAATTATTAACCAAAGAGAAGACATTTCAGATCAAAATGGTCAGTACGGCAAAACGCTAATTTCATATGTAAGGACCCAATATTATATCTAGAGGTGGGTGGCGCCATCTATTTTAAACGTTGTGCTACTGCTACATAAAATACAGGTGCCAACCGTCCCTTGCCTGGGAAATGTCCTGCTTTTTGGAGTGTTCTGGGATCTCCTGGACAGGTTTTTAGTGACATCGAGCCTTGAGTTAAAATGGTGGAAATTAAAAATATTTACTGTAAAATTAGATATTATTAACTATATCAGTCTAATGTTTTTTTTTACCACTGTAATATTTAATAATTCTTACCATATAATATGTAAAATTATATTCGAGATACTTTCATAAAAATTGTCATGGCTTTTGGTTGAGTTGCATTAACCTTATTTTCATTGCTGTTGTTCTGAGTTGCGCTTGTGAACCGAAATGTCCTGGAATCCCACCCTAACTTGAAAAAAAACGAAGACGTGCTCCTTACTATAAGTTTTATAAGGTAATAAGTTTATATAAAAATCTTTAAAAAAATAATTAAACAAGAAACGTGTAGTTTGTCATAAAAATTAAAACGTATGATAAAATGATCCTGTTGTTGTAATAAGTAAAACAAAATTATTAGAAGGTTTTGAACGACTAATTAATAACTATAATACCCTAGTTGCACAATCTTGCTTCTAACGCAACGCCAGCGCAAGGACTAGCCGTTGAACCTCAGCCCAGCCCAGTGACACGGTAATCAGTGATATCATTTTCACGTTTTGTATAATGAATGACATAAACAAACGATCTCCTTAACAGGATATGCACTAGTACCGGCAAGGTATTTTAATATCTTAAACATGTAATTTAAGAGGTTTATTTGAAATTATATAATATTGGTATTATTAAGTTGGTTTGTACTCTATTAATCTATTTTTCGGTTATACCTACCAAATGAATGCATCCACGACTTTTTCTGCCAACATGGCGACGCTACTGTCACGGTAATATTTATAGATAATATTACCGTGCTACTGTTGTAAGGAAAACAATATTTGACAGATTTCGGAGCGGGGAAGTTAATTTGTTGGAAAAATATAAATGTTGATGTTGCTTTCTGTATTATTAATTTTATTTTATATTAATTGGGATAAAAATAAATAAACCACACTACAGGTAGGTATTCATTAAAATTGGAAATTAAAAAAAAGAGTTAAAAATATGCAGAAACTGACTAAGCAAAAAAAATCAGACTACATTGTTTTGTATTTATATAATACTCTAGAAACTGATAAATTTTTATTTAAAACCATCAATATATGTACTACGCACTAGATTCCGCATTCCGAACACTCACTATGTTCAACTGAACTGTACTGCAATCCGTACACCTGTTATTGTGGCTTCAATATTTATGTAGTGCGGAGCGGCGTTAATAATAGTTTTATATTTTGCACATATGCAAAATAAACGAAAATTAAAAAAATGTACTTGGTTAACAATACAATCTAAATAAACAATTATTTAGTATGACAATTTTCGCGATTTTATATCAACTGCGAATGCGCGATTCTTCAGTCTTCCGCGCATGCGCGGATACAGAGTAGGGCAAATTTTTTGTTAGGAATAGCTTCTCTAGTACGTAGTACATATAACCCAATGTTTAAAACTAACTTCTCTATTAATTGACATTGTGTAGCAAAACACAAAAACACAAAGTGTGAACTAACGACATCCGCTGAGCGGAAGATTATGAGCACTCATTGAGATCTACACTAGTCGTGTTGATCACTTGCAGATGATAACCCTTTTTATCCTACACAGAAGAAATAATTAAGTTACTTCAAAAAGGTTCTATATTCGGCTTCTACGTTTTTTCTCAGATTTCTCTAAAGCGATTGAACCGGTATAAAAGATTATTTTTCTATTAAATTGGTTATACTTCAATGGTTGTCCCCAAAATACCGGTGCGAAAAGTGAGATTGGTGTGGCGAGTAGTAGAGCACTGGAGAGCATTTTCCTTTCTACTGGTCACAAGGCATTCCTTAGTTACTGCACTTTTGTCAGGCATTTCTTAGTTCTGAGGGTCGACAACGCTTCTGCATTTTGATTCTCGATGGGTGTGGACAAACACAAACGTGTGTCTGTAAGCCACAGCATTATCTTGTGCTGGTTTGTCTTACTTCTATGAAAAGTTTTCATTAACAAAATCGTCCTTATTCTGACATAACAAGGAAAACGTTTTATTTTTGGCAAAACGTAAGAGGCAACGACCTTGATCTCAAAGATAACATGCACGTTATCAAACCAAGCTTATCTTATCAATAGTCTACGTCGGAAGCAGGACAAACGCGAAGCTAACTGAGATTTCAGTGTTTAGATTGTCCCGAATTTTTTCTGGGTTGTTACGTATGGAGTGAAATGACGGTATGTTAAAATTTTTAAATTGCCTTGCGAATATTATATTGTCCTTGATTTCACAGTTATGATATTCTCTATAAAAGGTAGAGACATTTAATTCTTAATCGAGGATAGATGTAGAGAACTCAGTATCCACTTACCATCAGGTAGATAGCGGTGCTCATTTGTTTTCTTTATTCTATAAATAAGGTCTTCTCCTGTTAAAGGAAGAATTTGCTGTAATTTGCACACTTAAAGGCGGATATCACAGTGTTATTATTTAGCATTTTGACGCTAGTTCTCTATGCCGGTGAGAGAAGCGCCACTATATTATTGTAGCTGCAGCTCGACCGGAGAAGAATCTTGCTCACACAAAATATTTTTAAATAAAATAAATTTATTATATTTAGAAATATTTTTATATAAAATTCAACTGACAAGCTAATTAGCAGTCTACCACCAATATGCTATGTCCTTACATTGACTTATCTTACTTACTTACTTACTATACTGAC